CTATGCAAAGTTAAGCATCTTGTATGGATGTGCCCACTGTTCAGTAAATTAGCCTACTGAACAGTTAGCTACTATGTGTAAATACAGGTATTAAACTAACTGCTTAGTAACTCCTGGCAGTTTGCACATCAGGACTGGCCCCGTGTTTCCTGCCAGCACCTGGGCTAGGAATCTGAGGGAGCCTGGAGGTCCCTCTGGCTGCTGCAGGGAGGCAGAGCAGGGTAGGAACAGCCCTGTACTGGTCTGCTCCCATTAAGAATAGATTTGCTTCCGACAAGGAACACATAGACACACGCTTCCAGGGAAGGTTTATTGCACAGTATTTTACTCTACAGTAAGTGTTTATAGCATTAATAGCATAAGTAGATGCATCTAAACTGAATCAATAACTTAAGGGACAAGAGACAAGCAGAGTCCACAGAGGCTGTATAGGCATCTGGCTGGGGTCATCTGACCCCAGCACTCTTTCCTGCCTAGGCGGGGGGGGTGGACTCAATGGTCTGTTGCGGTCCCCTCCAACTCTAGCATCTGTGAATCATCTATGAGTCCAGAAGGAGCCAAATTGGGAAACAAGAGATTTAAAGCCAAGGAGACATGCAGGAGTGAAATCTAGGTGAAGTAAGAACACAGGAGCAGGCAAGGTCAGGAAACAAGGGTTGCAGAAAACACACAAGCAAGGGGTTTAAATGTTAACAAACTCAGGAGTCAAAAGCAGGGGGCCAGACTGGAGCCACATGGTCAGGAACAAGGAGTTGGGAGTTGTCAATCAGGAAAAGCTGTTAAAAATTAAGAACCAGGAATGATAACTCATGCACTTACTAGAGAAACATCTATCCTGTTAAATAATATGCTTGACACTTACAGGGATATTACTCATAAGCAGGGAGCTACACCCATGGTGGTAACTATAAGCAGCTGGAAGAATTTAGGCCACTGGCAGGCAGCCCCATTCAGGAAGTTAGGGCCAAATGAGGGTAGTTCACTTGCCTTCTGCCCTGACTCCTGACATATATAAACATACATACATATACATGCACATATATAAAATAAAATATAATATAAAATAATTGCTTGAGAATATAGGAGAATGGACTATATATCCAAGGAGATCCCTTCTATTGCTATGTTCATAAGTCAAAATACTTTTTGAAAATATAATTTTTAAATTAATAATTATATATAGAATATATAGATTATACATCTATCTATCTATCTATCTATACATATACATACACTAAATGAATCATAGAAAATTAGGGTTGGAAGGGACTTCAGGAGGTCTAGTCCAACCTCCTGCTCAAGGAAGGACCATCCCCAAATAAACCGTCCCAGCCACAGCTTTCTCCAGCCAGGTCTTAAAAACCTCCAAGGTTGGAGATTCCACAACCTCTCTGCAGGGTTGTAACGGGTCACAAAAATTGGGACTTGAGTTGAGTCGAGTCATTTGGGAATCAAGACTCAAGTTGAGTCGAGTCATTGACATGTCAAGCTTGAGCCTAGTAGAGTCACGTCACTAAGTTTGCTTGAGTTGAGTCGAGTCAAGGGACTTATCTGGCTCAAGTCAATTTGAGTCATTAGCTCAAACAGATCAACATGGTTTGATTTATTCAGATGAATTTTACATGAGATTAGCCAGGCCCCTTATCATCAGGAATTCTGGTTCTCTCTGATAAAAAAAATATCTCCAGTTTTTGGATTTAAAAAGTCCACCTTTTTCCATGATTAAAATTAAAAGCCACTAATATATAGATATACATAGTGGTGGTTCATTTTAATCACAGAAATATATGGATTTTGGGTTACTTTTTTAATTCAAAAATTGGGGATTGTTTTTATCAGGGAAAACCAGGATTCCTGCTCATCACAGAACACAATCAGGTTGGTCAGGCATGACTTGCCCTTGGTGAATCCCTGCTGACTCTTCCTAATCAGATTTTTTCTCCCTCAAGTGCTTAGAAATAATTTCATTGAAGTTCTGTTCCATTATTTTTCCAGGGAATGAGGTGAGGCTGACTGATCTGTACTTCCCTGGATCCTCCTTTTTCCCCCTTTCTCAAATATAGGCACTATGTGTACCCTTTTCCAATCATCCAGGACCTCTCCTGATCACCATGATGGGGCTCAAAGATGATGGACAATGGCTCTGCAATCTCATCAGCCAACTCAGCACCCTCAGGTCCATCCCCATGGGCTTGTATATGTCCAGCTTTTCTAAATAGTCCATAACTTGTTCTTTCACTCCTGTTTGATGCTTACCTCCTGCCCAAGCTGTGCTGCCTGGTGCAGTAGTCTGGGAGCTGACCTTGCCTGTGAAGACTGAGGTGAAGAAGGTATTGAGCATTTCAGCCTTTTCGGCATCTTCTATCACAAGGTTGCCTCCACTATTCAATAAAGGACTCACATTTTCCCTGATCCCCCTCTTGCTACTGACATACTTGTAGAAACCCTTTTTGTTACCCTTCATGGCCCATGCTAGCTGCAACTCCAATTGTCCTGTGGCCTTTCTGACTTTATCTCTGCATGCCTGAGCAATGATCTGAGACTTCTCCTTATTTATTTGTTCAAGTTTCCACTTCTTATAAGCTTTCTTTTTGTGACTTAGTTTACTGAAGAGTTCCCTGCTTAGCAAGTATGGCAGAAGAACACCTTGGCTTATCTTCCTGGGCATCAGGAAGGTTTGTTCCTGCACTCTTAGTAAGGCCTCCTTAAAGTACAACCAGATCTCCTAGATTCCTCTCTCCTGCAGACTGGCTTCCCAGGGGATCCTGCCCCAGAGCTTCCCTAGTGAGACACTGCTTTTCTGAAGTCTACAGTCCAAACTCTGCTCTTCTACCTTCCTTTCCTTAGTATCCTGAACTCTATCATCTCGTGGTCACTGCCGCCCAAGTAGCCTTCTACTACTACTACATTTTATGACCAGGTTACAAAACAACTGGATGCAGGAGTAGGGGTAGACTTCGTTTACTTAGACTTCAGGAAGGCCTTCAATACGGTATCCCACACCATACTGGGGAACAAGTTAAGAGTCTGCGACTTGGATGACTGCACGGTCCAGTGGGTGGCGAATTGGCTAGAGGGTTGTACCCAGAGAGTCATAGTGGAGGGGTCAGTATCCACCTGGAAGGGTGTGGGCAGTGGGGTCCTGCAGGGCTCAGTCCTTGGACCGATACTCTTCAATGTCTTTATCAGCGACTTGGACGAGGAAGTGAAGTGTACTCTGTCCAAGTTTGTGGATGACACAAAACTGTGGGGAGATGTGGACACACAGGAGGGCAGGGAACAACTACAAGCAGACCTGGACAGGTTGGACAAATGGGCAGAAAACAACAGAATGCAATTCAACAAGAAGCGCAAAGTGCTGCACCTAGGGAGGAAAAATGTCCAGCATACCTACTGCCTAGGAAATGACCTGCTTGGTGGCATGGAAGCAGAAGGGAATCTTGGAGTCCACTAGGACTCCATGAACATGAGTCAGTGTGACGAAGTCATCAGGAAAGCTAATGGCACTTTATCCTGCATCAGCAGATGCATGACGAACAGAACCAAGGAGGTGATACTGCCCTTCTATCAGGTGCTGGTCAGACCGCAGTTGGAATACTGCGTGCAATTTTGGGCGCCACACTTCAAGAGGGATGTGGATAACCTGGAGAGGGTCCAGAGAAGGGCCACTCATATGGTTAAGGGCTTGCAGACCAAGCCCTATGAGGAGAGACTGGGACCCCTGGACGTCTTCAGTCTCCGCAAGAGAAGGTTGAGAGGCGACCTTGTGGCTGCCTATAAGTTCATCATGGGGGCGCAGAAGGGAATTGGTGAGGCTTTACTCATGAAGGCACCCCTGGGGGTCACAAGAAATAATGTCCATAAGCTAGCAGAGAGCAGATTTAGACTAGATATTAGGAAGAACTTCTTCACAGTTAGAATGGCCAAAGTCTGGAATGGGCTCCCAAGGGAGGTGGTGCTCTCTCCTGCCTATGCAGGGGGTCAGACTCGATGATCTATTGAGGTCCCTTCTGACCCTAACATCTATGAATCTATGAATTTCCCATGAATTCTTCCATTTGTGAGCAGGAGGTCAAGAAGAATATGCTCCACAGTTGGCCACTCCAGCACTTGCACCAATAAGTTGTCCCCAACAATTACAATGTGTGTAATTATCGTGAAGACTGAAGGTCTTTGTTCTAAGATACTGATATATGCTTTTTAGGAAAAAAAGTTACTATTTTATATTTCTCGGGTATAAGAGCAAGATAATGCAACTGGAATATAGAAATGAAGCAATATTATTGTAAACTCCTTAGTTAAAAATATTCCATTTTTTACTAAGGTATTTGAAGTAGTACCTAAATACAGAAATTCATTTTCATAAAATGTATTCAATATTACATAGAGCTGTAAAAAATCTAATCAATACTATTCAGATGTAAAAAATTGGCAGAAAAAATCATCTTATGAAGAAAACACCTGTCATTGTGACCAATATGGCGATATTTACAGTGTAGTTTGCCAGCATGCTTTTAAATCACCTAAAACTTGAGTATAAAAATTGATATTTCAAATGGAAGTTAATGAAGTATCACTTTTATATGCATCATTTAACAATCTACAAATTCCCAGTCAAAAGTGGTCAGTACTAAGGTCACCTGAATGTGTAGTCTCCCATCACGCAAAAGTACTTTTCCAGTTTCAGTCTTTTAAAAATACACTGAAGAAAGAACACAAAAATAGCACCACCTTAGTAAGCAGATCTGCTTTTCCTCTGAATTTACAATCATACATTCTGACTTTTGTGAAATAAATGAGTCTTTACTATTTTTTTACTCTTCTTTAGGACTGCTATGACATTTCTACATTCCACACTATTTGGTGCATATCTCAGGAGATTTCCAGTCAGTTACAACTCTATAAACCTATTAAAGCCAAGGACACTGACAAGTTTCCCTACCCTGGAATTTGGTATCCTGAATTTTACAAGTAGCAAGGCATGAAAAATAAAGAACCAAGGTCGACTTTCAGCTCTCAATCAAAATGTGCAGGGTTGGCTGGTTTTGGTTTTTGTTTCTGAAAAGAAATAGAAAAAACACATACAAACCTCATAAATCAGAGACTATTTTCCAGTGTAAGCATCAAGTAATGTAATGAAAGTCAGCGGGGCTCTCATCTTGTTTTAACTAGTTCTGACCCTACAAGCTGATTGATGAGAATCGTTGATTCTCTCCAGTAAATGGTAGTCTATGCAATAGGCAAAGCTTAAGGTAGTGATTCAATTTGGAGGAGATTTGGCCAGATTCAGTGGCCAAATCTCCAAATCCAAATTGAATCAGCGGACCAATTAAAAGGTCCAAATCAATTCAAAGCTCTCTGAATCTTCAGAAAATATTCGGGGAGCTTTGGTGATTCGGGCAGTCCCTGGTGGATGCAGCAGGGAACTACAGCCAACTCATAGCTGGTAAGGACTAGGGGTGGGGATCCTTGCCAGCCCCCCCCCCCCCCCCCCCCCCCAGAGGTCTAGATACCAATAGCCAATTATTACCCAGTCATATCAGCCAATATCGATCGGATAACCGATTGCGGGAATGCAGCTGGGCAGCATGCAGAGCAGCTCCCTGCAGCTAAGTCTGCGGAGAGGAAGGAGTATGGAGAAGAGAAGACATATTGAAGCCCCCATGGTGAGGGAGGAAGTGGGGCAGGGGGCGCTGCCCAGCCAGAGTGCCGAATGGGACTTGGAGCCAGGGCAGAGAGTGGGATGAAGCTGCAGGTGGATTGTCCAGGGGATCAGCATCTTGCTACTTAAAAATTGGGGTTGGGATGCTTGAACTAAAGCTCATTGAATGAGCTTTAGTTCAAGCACCCCCAACACTACTTTTAAGCGTGGGGATGCTTTTAACTGGTGCCAAGGTGAATAGGGTGAGGGCAGATGCAGGCCACTCACTCTTGGCTCAGGGCTTTCCATCCTGCTGCCTTTGCACCAGCTGCATGGCCCTGCCTACCCAGCAGCAGGGGATACAACTCACCACCCCTACTGCTGCTGGGTAGGCAGGGGATACATGGCTGGCAGAGGGCTCCCAGGGCAAAGGCACATGCCCCCACATGCCTTCCTGGGGGGTGTGAGCAGCAACAGTACTCCCTCCCCATTGCCCCCACACTCCCTAGACATCTGCAGCTCCATCCCACTCCCTGCCCCAGTCCAGGTCCCATTCACTACCTTGGCTGGGCACTGCTCCCAGTCCCAGCCCATGCCCTAGCTCCTACCCTTCTCCCTCCCTCATCATGGGGGCCTCGATCTAATGCCCCCCCCCGCCATGCCTCTTCCCTTCCCACACTCCTTTCCCATCCACAGACTTACCTGCAGGGTGCTATTCTCCACACTGCCTGGCTACATTCCTGCCATATGCATGCTTGCATACACACAGTCTTAGGGCCCTGGCTAGAAGGCATATTATATTTATCAGTGAACATGATTGGCTACACTGGCCAAAAAAAACCCACAGCCGATAATGTTAATTTTCCTTTAAATCGGTGCTGATCCAATATTCAGCTGATATCTCAGTACATCTCTAGAATTCAACCCCCACTTTTTTCTTTGGTGGGGGGGGAGGTAATGGGGGAAATCCAGATTTATGTCTATATAAAGGTGTGTGGGTTTTTGTTTGCTTACTATAGCTGGTGAATAAAGGAGAATGAGGAGAAGAAGAAGAAGAAACACCCTTCATTTGAGTGTTTGACCCAATATTATTCTACATGTAAAATTAAATGTAATACAATACCAAACTGTCACATTCACACTTTTTTAGTAGATGCTTTATATAGCACAGGTATGGAAATAATATGCTTTTTAGCTCTGTCTTTAGCCTGCAATACACAGTATTAGATGGTTTATATGGAGAAGCTTTTGCTGCTTTAAGCATACTGAGCAACTGTTATGCTGATGGTGAAGTTTTTAAAGTTGCTATAATCAGCATTTCATGCAATGAAATAGGTTCTCTCTGCATTCTAGCTAAAAAGCTGAAAAATTGATGCATTAATGTTACTAATACCCTATAGAGGACATCATGTACCTGAATAAATAGAAAGGAGACCACCTCTGTTTCGCAGTAAATAAGATTTCACATTTATATCACACTTAAGTTGATAAGAAAATGGATTATGAACTAGTGTTGATAATATGCAAGCATACTATCCATTTTACAAGTATTTTCTTTTCATTTGAAGAAAGTAAATACAGATATCTCAGAAGTGTTTGTTGCCTGAAATAATAATATCAAACATACACAGAAGCATAGTTCCACAAGATTATTTAGCTAAATCCATTAAAAAAAACAAAAAACAAACAAACAAAAAATCAGACAATTTACCTCTTAAAAAGCAAGTCCTAATACTTTAAAATATTGTTGGTTACTTGTGAGGAACAAAGCTTTTTTGTTAGAAAATGTACACGCCTCAAACATTAAAAGCCCATTTAAAATATATATTTCTCTGAGATTACAACGATTATTGGCCACATTTTCAAAAGTTCTACAGTTCTTATCAGGAACTATATGGCTTAACGCCCACTTAAAAACAAGCAAACAAAAAAATCTAGTACTATATCCCACGTTACATTCTAAAAAATTCCATACTTCCTACCCATATCTTTATAAATCTGAAACTACAATTATGGCAATATAACATTTTATATATTTTGAGCATTGGCTCAAAAATATGAACAAAAAAGTATTTTTAATGGATGTGATCCTTCTGAAGAACAGGACTGGGAGCTTCTGCCATTTGTAAAGGAAAATAAATAGGCCCTTGCCTGTTGCAGGAGAAAACTAGTTTACCTATTTAGGATCTGCAGGGATTTTCAAGCCTGAATAGACCAAAGTTCATTTAAAACTCAAAGGCTGCATCCAACATTGTTTGCCCTGAAGAATCTGTGGCTTGGATTAATTAACTTTAAATCCTGAAATGTCTCAAAACAGTCTTAAAGGAGGAGAGTTAATAGCAGAAAGTAAAAAAGTAAAAATGTTATAATCTTTGTCAAGTCATATATATTAGTAGCTTGTTATTTCCTGATTTTTTTTCTCTCTTCTGTAACCAGGTGATTGTACTGTCTATTAAAAAGAAGACATTGACAACAATGCGTAACATGGAGTGATGACATGTATGTGCATGTGTCCTTTAAAACTTTACCTATTATCCCTTATGAGGATTTAATGATCAACTCCAAAGCTACTAATACTGGCCCCAAGCACACTGGAATAGATGAATTACTGGTCTGATCTAAATGGAAATACTTCCTATGCACTTAACACATGCTATACTGCAGGATTGTTCAGCTTCTGAGTGGCTAGGGTCTGCAGCCCTCCCCTCCCTACATCATACAAGCCACATGCTTCCTAGCAGCATGCTGTGTGGACAGCATGCCATTATGGCATGGGTACCCTCTTCACACCAAACTGTATGGGCTCTACACCAAACTGTTCTACTTGCTCCCCCATCCCTACTGCACTACCTGGGCATGCCCTTGCATTTATGCTAGTTTAAATTTACTGCCCAGTAAATTACTGTGAAGTAAGTGGGAATAAACAGGCTGGCATCTGCACCTGCAGGCAACCTGGGACTAAATTTAGTCTCAGGTCAGAGCAGCCTGCCATGTGCCCCTGTGGCATGTAGTTTTGCCATGTGCCCCTCTGGCCACGTGGCTGCCCTGGGACTAAACTTTATTCCCAAACTGAAACCAGAGCCAGCTGCCATCACTTGGGATTAACTTTACTCCCAAACTGAAGCCAGGAGAGGTGGCTAGCAAGGAACCCTGGGGCTAGGATCATGCTGTCCCCTAGTAGCTGAATTAATGCAGCAGGTAGGCCCCCTGGGTTACTGTGCAGTAACCCTTCTACACATGCATTACTGCGTAGTAACTGATCAGGCATAAATATGATACCTGCCTGATACAGGTATCAAATTTATGCTCAACACTGAAATAACTTGGATAAAAGTTAAAACATCATGGGGGTTAAAACAAGTTTATAAAGAACAAATCTTGCCAAGCCAGCTAGATTCTTTCTCGTTGTTGTTGTTATAACTAAAGAACTATTAGATAAGCATGCAGGTGATATATTAGGATTTCAGAAAGATATCTGATATTATGCCACAGGGTATCCTAAGGGGAGATTAAATCAAATTGACTTAAAAAAAAATACAATTAGATGGATCAAAAGCTGGCCATGTAACTAGATGGGGAGCAATTATAAAAATGATTGTTTTAGCTAGATGAGGTAACGTTATCCAGTGTTGTCCTGCAGGAATCCATAATGACCCCCTCCCTCCCCTCCAATATTTTTATAAAATTATCTGCAAAACCAAAGTAAACAATAAATACAGGAAATTCAAAGAGCTAAATTAAAGCTAGGAGGTATGTTAAACAACAGAGTAGGAAAAAAGATTCATATATCGAAAAATTGGGCTGAAGTGAATTACATTGAACTTAGATACTTTATGGGGACATGCAGTTTCTGATCTCCCTGTCAATGTTTAGTAGTATCTTATAGATCTATCTAGTGGCTTTGGGGAAGGTGAGGAACAGATGGTGATAGGGAGTAAGGATATCATATCTTTCTTGGGTCATACTAAGTGACACCCCACTCCTCCACAATGACTCTTGCAATAGGAAGTACATAATAGAGGTTCCAGAGACAGTTTTTTCTCATCATCACTCACTGAAGAAATCCAGCTTTATACAGTTAGACTCACAAACCAGGAATAGCAGAAAATAATTTATTTTTTAAAAATCCTTCAAAACATCTATGTTCTTTATCCTTCCACAAATATCATGGAATAGCATGCATGTCCCCAGCCCTGAATCCCTGTTTACTTCCAAACTTATTTGCTGCTTCCCTTCTTCAGTAACCTCAGCTCTTCTTGCAGTTCTCCCCAGCAACCCCCTAGGCTCCTTACCTACCTGAAAGTCGTTTCTTTTCCATCCTGGCTTGGGCACCCTGCAAATAGGCCCTTCTTTGCCTGCCATCTTAGTAAAATCCATAGGTAAGTACCCCTACTAATTATATGGATCGTAGACTTGTCCAATCTATAGTCCTTCCTTTTCAGCCCAGAAGAAAGCAGCAGGCGCTTCTCAACGTTACTGTCATGACCTCTTCTAAACTCATTCTAAGGAGCTTAAAAGAGATTAGTTTATTCACAAAACACTGCCAAATTTCCTTCAAAATTAATGTTAGAAGATACAATCCCTTTCTCACCACAGAAATGTTTGACATTAAAAACAAAAACCAAACAAAAAAGCCCTAGTGGCACATTTATAAATCCTCAACAGTAAGAAAAAAAAAAAAAAAAGAAAGATGCTTCATTCAGATATATTATGTTAAAACATAACACTGTCTGAGAAAACAGAGGCACGAATATGTTTTATATTAGCAGTTCAAACATCCCCAAGACTTTGAAGTTGTTACAAACAGGTATCAGATGAATAACAGCAGGGGACTTTGTGAAAACAATTTAACGTACTCAGGAAAAATCTTAGGGAAAAAAATATATAATTCATATATTTGATTTTAAAGAAGTCAATGTGTCTGTATTCTGCACTTCTTTTTTCTATTCTCTATTTAGATTGTCACAAAAGAGGTTAGTTGCTATGTATTTGTTGAAATAGCAAAATGCAAAAGTAAAATGTACAGAACATTTCTGGAAAATGTAATTTGAATTTTCAGGCATAATTATTAGTTCTGGAAATGTCTTTGCAATAGTTATGATTGTGCAAAAATATTTGAAAGTTTAACTTTTGCCTAATTATAAACAGATTTATTTTCAGTTCTTGAACTGAGGTCCTTAAAAGGTCCATATGATTCTCCAGTTTCCAAATGAGTGTTTGTGAAATTCATAACTAAAAGATTAATTTCTAAAGACCAAGGACCTCATATTACAAATCATTCTCTCTTCTTGCCTATTAACCCTTCTGTGGCTCTACTTCGAAGTGGAGGATTCAGCCAAGACTGACTTGTGCCTTCTTCCACTCCCTAGTCTACCTCTCATAATGTTTGGGGGAGAACAGTCAGCGAACAACTGATTACAGTGTCTGAATTTGACTTGATATTTCAAAAGCATATTGATATAGCATCTGGACCTGGACCTCTTCTGTTCTGTCTTGCCAAGCAGCAACATGCATACATAGATACCTTTCTTAGTAGAGCTCAAATGACGTTAATGCAGGCTCAGCACTCTCTTCTGCTTGGAGCACCAACCAGCAAAGTCGTGTGCAAAGTCAGCCCTCCCCACTTTATAGCCTGGCTTTGGCCTTCATGTTCATTTACTTTGGCAACATACAAAATCCTTAAGTTATTGGTAGGTTTTCCTTTTAACACTACTATTTTCTTTCATTTGGAAATGAGCCTAGTTATCTTCCTGGGCAGAAAAAGTAATCATTTATATATAAAATAAGATTAGCATCTGCCCTTCTTTTTCTCAATTAATTCTCCTTCAGTGTGTCTGATGTTTCCTCCCAATACATTACTTGGATGGCAAAGGGGCAAAGAGTGGCCAATCTGGAAATGACAAGTCAGTACAAAATAGTAAAATAAAATTATAATAAAAGCTATACATTTCACATCCAGATGCAGTTACCATTCATTTAGTAATCAAATGCTATGGACTTTTTTTAAGCAGTAAACTTGGCCTGCAAGGATATATTCAGTATTCTAACACTTCAAGAGAAAGTGCAAAAAAAAGGTGAAACTTGCAGGATTTGGTATACATTTTACACTAAACACTTACCCCGATGGCTTCTATTTAGGTAAAATTCTCATTGCAGTCAAGAGAGTTTTGCTAAAGTGAGTTCAATATGAACAAAACCTCTGAGACAATCCTTGATGATCCAAAAGATGTGTGTCGGGAAAGGTCCATTTCTTGTTCCTACAAATTTTGCAATGTATACCCACATTTATTTACTGTCTTTGATATGTTTACTAAAATCTTTATGTGAAGTTACCAAACTTTGTTAATTCATCTGCTCTAAGCAGCAAATAATGTTTGAAATACCTTGCAGAAATACAAATCTAATACCTAATTTTTAATCAGTCTTTACAGATAAATTCCCCCTTTACAGTTATGCATCATATTGTATTTATGTCCTATCATTAGTTTTCATTTTAATTATGTATATTTAGCTTTAGAAAGCCTTGAGTTTTGGGGTTCTTTTTCTTTCCTTTAGGATAGATTTAATTAGTTTAATTCAAACTAGTACCCTTCTGGCATCATCATTAACACAAATTGATTCTAATTAGCATTTTAATGTGCAATAAATAATCCTGTACTATTGACTGTTTTACCTTATTCCATCCATTTCAACAGCAAACATCTAAACCTATTCTATATTTATATATCTATTTTTTCCAAAGATAATTATGCATGAGGAAGAGTAAAAAAAGAAGATTAAATGAATGTTCTTTCATTTAATTTTTTATTTATTCCTCTTCTTTCCTACTCCCCCCTCCCCAATTCTGTGGTTTGGTTTGTTTATATGAATCAATATAAAGGCAGTATTAACAAACCATGATCTTCCAAGCACTGCTGACATTGGACACAGTAAGTGAAGCATTTATTTGGAGATAAGATCACTTTATGCTTCTTTATGAGTTTTCAGAAGTTTGGCTTCCTGGATTCTGGACCCTTTCTGAAACACTGAAGTCTCTCTTTCATACTTAGTCAACTATGCTCAAACGTATGGAAACACAGAAATCGGAGGGATAAAAAAAATACAAGAGGACAGAGTCAAACCACAGTATGTATGACCTCAGAAAATTACAGTGCTTTCAACTCCGACGTTCAAAAATCATGAACCCCAAAAATCACAAACAGACTCAAAGCTGTGGGGAAAAAAAAAAAAAAAAAAAAAAAAAAAAAAAAAAAAAAAACTTTCGCAATTTCTGAATTCTCCCTTTCCACCTTCAACTGTACAGTTAGTCTTAATTTATAGCAAGAAATATAATTTTGATCACTGCATGCCTACATGAATTTTGACCCTAGAACACACACATTTTGCAATCAACCTAACCTACACTAATCAATTCATTGAATGGGAGGAAATAAATAGTACACATACAAAAGGACAGTTAATAATGAGCTTATCCTTATCAAGGTCCTAAAACAACTTCTCCATCAATATGAATGGTTTATATCTTAGGAACTGGCCTACCATACCAACAAATATAAGAAGTAAAGCAAAAGGGTCTTTACAGCACTATGCTTAAAGTTAAATTTTAGATTTGCTCCAATGTTTAAACCCAGTTGCATAACAAAGATGGGATGAACTGGACAACTGCCCTGGGCTCCAATGTGAGTGGGGTGAAAAAAAGTGCCTCACCAAAACCATGGGTGCAGATAGAACTGACTTTTGCCACATGATTGTCCCCTTGAAAGCACTCTACAGCTATGCCCAAACAGAAGAGAATAGTTGCAGAGTGTGCCAATCACACAACAAATTCACCCTCATTGTATGGAGGGTTCAAATGAAGATGGTCCAAAGCAGAACACCTTCATTAATTTCTGTCTGCTCCAGCTACAGTACAGCCTGGCAACAGCTGCTGTCTCTGGATGAGAGGGTGAGAATGCAGGGAAGGGAGGTTCATTCTGGGATTTTCTTAACCCTACTGGTGGGGGGGG